AAAAAAAAAAAAAAAAAAAAAAAAAAAGATGAATTAACGAGCCTCGGTATCTGTGTGTGTGTGTGTTGCAGCGGCGATGCTGGCGAGTCAGCAGGCCGCCGCGGTAGCCGCATCGGTGATCTCGCCATTCCCGCCCAAGTGACCCGCGGCCCCCGGTCCCGTACTAGCTGCCGGAACAACCGGACCCACCTCCGCACAAACTCATCACACGTCTCATCATCCGCCGGTTAGCGGCGCAACCGCCGCGGGACATCCGCACTCTGCTACCGCTGGCAGGCAACCTTAGGATCGTCTCGGGAATACCGCTAATTCGGCACTGCTACCTCTTCTTCATTAACGCGACCAGCCAGAGAGAGAGAGAGAGAGAGAATGAGAGAGAGAGAGAGAGACTCCGTCAACAGCAGCAGCACGTCATCCTGTTAAGGCCTGTCGTCTCCGTTATCGTCCATCGTCTAAGAAATATCGTCATCGAAAGGATCTTCCGAACTTGATCTCCGACGAGATTCAGTCATCGTGTGTGCGGTGATTGCTCGCTGATGCTGACGGTGACGACGCGCTATCTGAACACACACACTGTCCAACCGCCTTCTCTTTGTCTTTGTCTTCGTTTCGTTCTCGCGGGAAAGCGCGCACGCCTTCCGAACTGTCGTCGTTCCATTTCCAAGGGAAAATATACTGCTACTACACAACAAGGTTACTACGAACGCCGATCCAAACGCGATCCATCGAATCCAATTCCTGGTGGTGCTCTGGACCGATTATTGAACCAAACACCGAATAAACGATTAGCTTTGCGAAATTGAAATTGCAGCCTTCTCCGATTTTCCTCGTCGAAGAATGATTTTCGTAGCGCGGCGTGTTACGTAATTTTATTATACACGTATAAGAGACGATGTTTTACGTTTTATTCGGGGCTTCTCGCAACTTTATGCGCAGGAGATCGATCCTATCTAGAGTGTCGACGCACAATTCACGTGAAATTCGAACGAAATCTCTTCTCGAGGACACGGTCGAAACGAAACGAGATGAGAGACGGTCCCTGGTACACACCCATGTTCTTCCATTTCGAAGCGTAATACAAAGATTTTCCAGATTTTTATACGAGTTTCTTATTTATTCTGATCTTTTCTTGGATACTGTCAACGGCGACGGCGACGGCGACGGCGACGATGACAACGACGATGCGAGCGGAACAAAAGTTAGCATTCCGCGCGGCAAACGCATTGAATCATCCAACTTCGACTCTGGGGATGCTTTTCGCTCGTCGGCTCGATTCGGGATTTGAACCGATGGTCAAAGGAACGATACATACGTGTTGGAAGAGCGACTCGCGACGACTCGACGCATCATTGTACCTGGTTCGAAACGCGAAATACTTAACCAAATTCTCCGATCGATCTTGAAATAATAGCGGAGAGACCAGTTGTCGGAAAAATCGA